TTTCTCCTCTCAAGTTCATTCATTTCTTTTTGCAAGTGGATGGCACTGTACTTTCAGATGTTTGTATACTTTGAAATTGGCCAGGATCGTAACATATCATATGTTTGTTTCAAAAGATGCCCCTAAATATAAGTAAATAGTTAAACATACCTAGTATTATATGCATGCAAGAACCTGAACTAAACAAGCACGTGGTTTCATCAAACACGGTGAGAAGTGGCGAGTAGGCCAAGGGGAAAGGAAACAAGCCCCATGGGGGGCGGACTCTTAGAAGGTAGCAGAGTTTTTCTTTTTGTGTACGTGGTGCGACAAGGAGGAGGAGAGAAGGGAGAACAATCACGAAGGATATCATCCGAGTGCTGCATGTTGAGGAGTGTTTTAAATATTTTCAGGTGGGAAGAATAGAGTTGGAGAAGGGGGGAGGAAAATGATGGGCATTGGGGATGAGTGAAGAGGTGGTGGGGGCTTCCTTATTTTGCGGGCGAGTAATCTTGTCATACGCAAAGCAGAATCACTCATTTTACACTGATCTGTGCCACTTACCTTGCTGATATGTGCCAGGACAACTACCTAGAAGAGGCCATGAAAATGCGGAATCTCCTTGAAGAATTTGACTGCAAAATGGATCGGCACAAGCCAACTATCCTGGGTCTGCGAGAACACATTTTTACATCAGCGTAAGGAAATGTTCAGACTTGGGAAACTTCCTGCCTTGTTTTTTACACGTCTTTTTATGTCTGACTAGAGCTGGAACTGAAAAGTATGGCGATTGGTGTGTTGTGAAGCTGTCGTCTATTGGCTGGTGCTCTGCTCTCCCCTCATGCTCTCCTTGAGACTTCAGGCTTGAGGAGAGTTGTGTGTCCCTCGAATTCCTTCTTTAATACTTGCATGCTTGCAGTCATTTGCTCTCACGCATCTGGTTGCGTTGTTCACAACTCCTACCTCTTTCCGCCCCTTTTTTTTTTTGAAGTTTTCCCAGGTGTTGGCAAATTGATTGAAGACCTCAGCTGCATTTGGCGGAGGGTGGAAAATAATGTCGCGTATGCATTGGCAACCAACATGCAGGTCTTTATTTGCTTGTGTGCTATGAACTCGAGGAGGCCTGCTGCGAGGAACTTGACAAGTGTTGCTTGTGTTCCATGGACTCCTTTGCAGAGTGTCGTCGATTGCTGAGTTTATGTGCGCGCAGGAGTTGGCGTTTGTGACCATTGGGCAACGTGTTCTTGCAAGACCATTGAGGTATGTTTGTCTAGCTCAGTTTAGGTGAATTAATTATGTCCTCCTGATGCAAATAACAGCAAGGATTTTGTTCTCAAAAATAGAGCTTGGGTCTCCCGTACCTGTGCGGTCAGTGAATAAAACATGTGCCAGTTTTAGTACAGCCGATGGTCACTGGGTCTCCTCCTCCTCCCACTCCTAGTCCCTCCGCCATCGTCGTCATTGTTGTTTTTGTTGTCGTTATCGTCGTCATCGTCGTTGTCGTCATTGTCATTCAGTTGTGGTCGTCATCATCGTTGTCGTCGTCATCATCATCGTCGTCGTAGTCATCGTTGTCGTTGTCCTCTTGTTTGACCTTGCTGATTGTGAGCTGCAGGAACCTATTCAAGGATGGCCTGCTTTCAGGATTTCGGAACCGTCTCGAATTGGATGGAGCAACTGACTTGTTGAATCATGTTTGCATTTGCCGTTGGCATGTTGTGGCAGTGAGTCCAGTGACACATGAAGAGCTGAAATCCTGTGATTATCCTGTTGAATACCCCAATAAATCTAGGGGCTAGCCTGCATAGGTTGGATCAAAAGCAAACATAAAACATTCTCTGGATTGCGTGAAGTCATTCGGAAACTAGTTTTCAGCCATGTTCTCGTCATCGGTGCGTGTTATTCCCATAAGAAGGAACGTCTACATGCACTATGGGCATCCTGCGGTTTTAATCAGCTGCTCCGTATTGGTAGAATAGGCAAGGCCTAACTAGCCATCAATGTGACATGTGTCAACGCATGTAGTTTGTATCAGTGATCGGTGAAGCATAAGCATAATCTGAGCTTTGTTTTTCTTATGTCAAGTTGCTTATCAAGAACATGTTTTCCTGATTTTGTGCCTCCTCTCACCCAACAGGGTGCGCATGCATTATGGACACCCAGATGTGTTTGATCGGTTGTTCCATATCACTCGTGGTGGAATGAGCAAGGCATCAAAGACCATCAATGTTAGTGAGGATATCTATGCAGGTGAGTGTTCAAGAGATGATGCATGTACAATCATAGCCTAGGCTACCAGCCGGGCCCTGGGTCACCTTGTTTGCCCGGGTGGCCCGGCGGTGCAAGGACCAAAGAAGGTCCAGCAAAAGAAAAAGGAAAAAAAAACTCACCGAAATCTGTAAAAAATATGTCATGCAGAAAAATAAACTGAACAACTTTTGCCTGAGGGTCACATCAAAATTCTTTACCAAATTCCTTTTCTTTCTTTTAATAAACTAAGCTATATTCATAATATTTTTCTCTCAATTCCACCTTTCACTATCTACCTACCGCTACTTCTCAGTCTATACAGCGGACCCTGCAAACATAGCTATATAAGGGGATGCATGTCGGCCCCTGCCCTAATCGGCGGTGATCAGGGAGTAGGGTGGGGCCGCCGATGGGGGGGACGGCTAATACAAAGACCAAGCATTTTGCCAATTGCTGCACCTCCCATCTACTTCCCTCACCCTCCATCGAGTAGCAGTAGTGGATATGGCCAAAATACATATATTGGACACGCCTGGGCAAGTGGTCCCGGGCCAGTCTCCAAGGAATTGTTGGTATGTGCATGTATGCAAGGCTGATAGCGTGCCCTAGCCAGCAGGAGAGCTGTGTGGGATCCCTACGCTTATAGAAATTGCTATTCGCGATCTTAAGACTTTCAGACTTTAAGATCGCGTGCCAATCCAGACCATTCGCTTTGCCGGACGGTCTGGATCGTCGCGCGATCTTAAAGTCTTAAGATCGCATGGAAATTCGGACCGTTGGGCCAGTAGGACCGCGGGCGGCCCGGATCGGCGCGCCCTTTGGAAATAAGGCCTGTTGCAGGGCGGCGCTGTGGCCTGTTGCAGGCCTGCACTTTCCCTGCATTGAAGTCCAACGGGCCCTCCCACCTCTTTGCCGGACGGTCTGGATCGTCGCACGGAAATCCGGACGGTCGGGCCAGTAGGACCGTGGGTGGCCCGGATCGGCGCGCCCTTTGGAAATAGGGCCTGTTGCAGGGTGGCGCTGTGGCCTGTTGCAGGCCTGCGCTTTCCCTGCATTGAAGTCCAACGGGCCCGCCCGACTGCCCACCTCAACTCCGCCACCGGCTCCCGCCTTCCGCTGCCCACCGCCTCCCTTCCGCTCCCTTCCGCCACCGCCCACCATCTCCTCTCCGCCTCCGCCAACCTCTTCTCCGCCCGGCACCCACCTCTCCTCCACCTCCCCTTCGCCTCCTCCTGCCATCTCCTCTCCGCCTTCGCCCACATCCCCTCCGCCACCGCCCACCATCTCCTCCCTGCCTCCACCCACCTCTTCTCCGCCAGTGGGCCATCTCGACTCCGCCTCCGCCCGCCGGTCCCCTCCCCTCCACCGGGATTCCTCTGCCACGTCTTCCTCGGCATTCCACCGGCAGTTCTCCTCCACTTCCGCCTCCACCTATGCTCACCTCCGCCCACCTCACATCCGCCTCTGCCAACCTCACCTCTGCTTCTGGCCACCCCACCTCCACCTCCGCTCACCTCTGCCCTCCTCACCT